GGGGGGGCGGGGCATGGCTGAGCATGGCTGTCAGGCCTGGGTCACCGTGCAGTCATTTCTTGCTGGCTCTCTTGTGCACCACCATGGGCTCCGACAGTGTCTGCTGCTGCAGCCGCCCAATCAGCTCCTCCACGTAGACCTTGAACAGAGGAGTCGGGTCCTACAGGAGTGAAACAGGGTCAGGATGAGTCGCTCTGGGGAAGGCAGGAATCCAGTTGCTGCTGGCCAAACAGAGGCATCCGGCACGAGACTAGACCCCTCAGGCTTCGCTGCAGCCACCAGCCCAGAGGACAGTGCCCTGTCCACGAGACAGAGGCCACCTTCCCTTGGGGACCCAGGGACCAGGCATCTCTCCCCCACTTCCCTGCCTTGGGGCCCTGTGGTTGCAGATAAACCAAACAGAGAGAACAGGGGCAACGGCTGCTGGTGGGCTCCCTGTTGCAGCAGTGACCACGAGCTCCAGACGCTTCCAGGGTGCAAACACAAAAAGACCTCAGCTCAATACCAGGAAGATCGTAGGGCAGGGGGGTACCACGTGGCCAAAGAAACCAAAAGTGCCACCAAGAGTCTTTCTGTCCATGAACTTATGAAGCCAGCTGGGGGGCGGGGTGGGGTGGGCAGGACAGAGTCAGGACCTCGAGGGCAGGGGGCACGCCGCACGGAACCCAAGGCCGTGGTTGTACCGGGCCAGCTGTGCACAGCAGCAGCTCCTCCCCAAGCTCACCGGGCACAGCGGCCCCCAGTCCAGGCTTCCCCGGAGGCAGTATGCCTCCCCACCCATCCGTCTGCTAGTGCTCAGCAGCTGGCGCTCACATGTGCTCACCTTCTCCTCCAGGAGCCTCTGCTTCTCCACAGCCTCATCTAGTGTCAGGCCGACCCACTCGGCTTCTGCCTCCGGGATGACAAACTCCTGCACCGGAGAGACCAGGCACTGGATGAGCAGACGTACAGCCCGCCAATGGGACCCACAAGGAGCCAGAAGTACAAACCAAAGCCCTCACCTTGTACTTGTCGTAGATGGCTGCCCTCTTCTGGGGGTTGTCTGGGTGCAACCGGGGGTCCTGTCGGGCGAGCCGCAGCAGCATCCCTCGCTTCAGGTCCATCCCGAACTTGGAGCACAGGTCCTCCTTTGGAGTCTGGCAGGAGGCTATGCATGGGGCCAGGTGTTGCTGGTGGGGCCCTGCCCACCCGCCAGCAAACCCCACCACTTCCTCAGCAGCAGGAGGGGCCCGGCCATCACAGGACAAAGGAAGGTCTGAGAGCAGGGAAGGAGGCAGTGATGCTCACTGGGACCCCGTTTATATTTCACTGGTGTCCCTCCACCCCAGACACGGGTGTGCCCCGGTGAGTCTCTGACTCGCTAGGAGACTCCGCTGTGTGCTGGCACAGCCCCCTGCTTGCCTTGAGGATGTAGAAGTCAAACCCGTAGGCCTCGTCAATGAGGTCCAGGGTCCGCTGGGTCACTGTGATGGTGAATTTCGTGTCCAGGATCTCACTGTAGAGCTCACGCTTAAACAGCTGTGGCTTCCACACCTTCTTCACCCTCTTTGAGAGCTAAGGGAGGAACAGAGACCTCATGAGGGCTGTTGCTTCTCCCAACAGAGCCAAATGGGGCTGGGGCATCTTCCTGAGGCTCAGGACGGAGAGCTGGATGGACCAGGCCCCACCTGGGGACCCAGAGATCACCTTCTCCTCAACCCTACCTGGGTTGCTGGTGTGCGTTCCAGACACACCACACATAAAACCATAACTCTGTGGTTCACAGGTCATCACGTTCCAAACCGGGGACCAAGGGGCCGAAGACAAAGGGAGAGGCCCCCCGGGAGGCCCCAAAGACACAAGCCACCCTGCAGAGGGCTCAGCAGCCCCTCCACGTTTCCCACCAGAGACTGCACGGTGTGGAAGGCAGACTGTCCATCTCTCAGCCTTCCTAAGTGCAGTGATGCGGTGGCAGTCATGAGAAGGAGGCAAACTACAGCGTGTCACGCTGACAGGTGACCGAAGACCTGACCTCCCACTACTGCCTCTCGCACACAGATCTCCTCCTCCTCCTCACACTTGATCTGGCTAACCATCCAGTGGCTCTGCACCACCCTGTCTCAGAACACCACCACACTGTAAGCACACACCCCCACCCCACCCCCTGAACCTCCAGAGCACAGCCCAGGGCTCAGGACAGCAAATCCCAGAGGAGTACCCGGAAGGAGTACCCTGCCCTGCTCACATACCTTGTCGTTGTTGATGTATCTATGGCCCAGGATCCAGCCCTCCCCACCCCAGAGCCCCAGCTGGGATTCTGGGGGATAGTAAATGGGAATGGGTACATCCTCCACACGCTCCCGCTGCCCATTCTTCGGGTTGATCTTGAACTTAACCCCGTGAGGCCTGTAGTGCACGGGAGTGGGCGTCCGCACCTCCTCCAGGGAGCGCAGGTAGTGCCGGGGCAAGCGGGAGCAGATACCTTCCCGCAGCCGGAGCTGCTTCCACAGGCCGACGGGGAACTTGTGCAGAGGCATCGTGACGAGCCTGGCGGGAGACAGGGGTGGCGTCGTTACACCACAGCCCGGCCGCACTCCGGCCCCGACTACCCGCGCGGCCCCGACCCCCGACGCCCGCGCTCCGACCCCAGTCCCCTGATTCCCGACCCCGACCCTCTGACTACCGACGCCGACCCCCTGACTCCCGACCCCGGTCCCCCCGACCCCCGCTCCCCGACCCCAGCTCCCTGACTCCCGACCCTCTGACTACCGACGCCGACCCCCTGACTCCCGACCCCGGTCCCCCCGACCCCAACTCCCTGACTCCCGACCCTCTGACTACCGACGCCGACCCCGATTCCCGACCCCGGTTCCCCCGATCCCGACCCCGACCCCAGCCTCCTGACTCCCTACCCCGACCCTCTGACTACCGACGCCGACCCCCTGACTCCCGACCCCAGTCCCTCCGATCCCGACCCCGGTCCCCTAACTCCCGACCGCTGCCCCGACCGTGGCCCCCAGACTCCCGACCCCGGTCCCCCCGACTACCGGCGCGGCCCCACGACTCCAGACCCCGCCTCAACCACCCGTGTAGCCTCTTCCCTCGCCCCGACTCCTAATCCCGGACTCTGACCCCCGACCCCACCCCAGCCCCCTGACTGCCGACGCCGACCCCCGGACTCCCGACCCCGGTCCCTCCGGCCCCGACCCCGGTCTCCCGGACTCCCGACCGCGGCCCCAGGACTCCAGATCCGGCCCCAACTACCCGTGTAGCCTCTCCCCTCGCCCAGACTCCTAATCCCGGACCCTGACTCCCGTCCCTGGCCCGGATCTACAGTCCCTACTCGCCCCTCGAGACCCGATCCTGACCTAGCCCACAGCCTGCCTCTCCGAGTTCCGCGCTCCACCGGAACCAGAAGTCGCGACCCAGCGCCTACACCCCATCCGCCGCTAACTGGCTGAAAAGTCCGTCAGTCTACTCTCGTCCCGCCCCGTTTCCTGTCTTTAGGGACCGTGGAAAATGCCCGGCCGTGACGGCAGCAGCTCAAGGCACCGTCGGCAAATGCGGATCCTTTTCCCCCTGAGAGGAGCTGGGGGCGGGGAGGGGGCGTGGAGTTTGTCATCCTCTGTCCCACCCCCTCTCCTCCCGGATGGAGAGCAGAAATCAATGTAAAAACTCTTGTGTCTCGGGCGCCTGGGTGGCCCAGTCGGTTAAGAGTCCAAATCTTGATTTCGGCTCAGGTCGTGATCCCAGGGTCCTGAGATCGGGCCCTCGCGAAGCATAGATCCTGCTTAAGATCCTCCCCGCCCCTCGTCCCCCGCACTCTCGCTCTAAAATAAAAGACTCTTGTGCCTTGAAATATCACTGTAGAATATTAAACTCACCAATCACAGCAAAATCAGAGCTACATAAAAATGTCTTAATGTCTTAAAAACTTGTAAAAAAAAATTGTAACCTCCCAAACCACCATATATAAATGTTTGTTTCCCCTTTACAAGCCTAGAGAATGTGCTAGGGGCCGAGTGCAGGGTGAGAAGGGGTGGGGGAGGCCGACAGGGAGGCAACAGCGGGACAGGAAGGGAAGCCCCGGGGCCAGTAGGTGGGAGGGCTGTCTGTCCCCACCCTAACCCCACCCCACCTTCAGAGGCCTCACCTTCCTGTGGCCATTTCCGGCCACTTCGGGCACCCCCTGGTAGGCAGCAACGGCAGTCTTGCCTTAGGGGAGGGGCAGTCAGCCCCCCTTACTGCTTCCCCCACAGAGGATGGAGAAAGGCTGGGCCAGGTCTCAGGGAAACCCCTCCCCAAACACACGGTTAGGCCTGTACAGGGCAGCAATCACCACTTGCCTTCCTGGAGCAACTGGAGAGCATGAGTGGCTCCCCAGGCAAGGGCCCAGGAACCCATGGGCTGGCTGGAGAGATGGAGCTGGGACAGGGTGGGACCTGTGGTACTGCACTCCCAGAGCAGCTCGGCAGCCCCCTCCCAAGGAAGCTCTTCCCAAGGGGCGGCACCTCCAAAGCAGAGAGCCGAATGGAGGGGAGGAGCAGGACCAGCCGGGCAAAACCCAGCCTCTCAGTGCCCAGCAGGTGCCTGGTGACTGTGTTCGCCTCTCCCCACACCACTGCATCAGCAGGGAGCATGCCCACACCCGGGGAGGCCGGCATCAGGGCACACCTCGTCACGGAGCCAGAGACGCAAGGAGGGCAGGCTTAGTGGGGCGGAGGCCTGTGGGAAGTGGGCTCAGGCCTCCTCTGTCCCCCTGAGCCTCACCTCACCACCTCACAGGGAACAGGGACGATGGGGGAATCTCGCTCCACATCGCCAACCATCCTTCAGCCAGCCAAACACAGAGCCTGCCCCTGCATGGCACCCACGGTCTCCAAGCAGCCAGGCCCAGGCCCCAGGGGCCCCTGCAGACACCAGCTGGGACCTGCAGAGGGACCGTGGTAGCCAGCAACCAGCAGGCACAAGGGAATGGCGGCGGGGGGGGGGGGGGCAGTCCTCTCCTCGGGAGGAAGCCAGAGAGTGCAAGGGCAATTTTATTCAGTTGGAAATTGATCTGGACAGGGTCCTTCTCCTTTGGTCCTGCCCCTGGCCAGAGAGGTCCTGTTTACAGCTGCCGGGCTCCCTGAGCTGGCCACATCACGTCACTGTGTACAGGTCCTCTCGGTGGTTCTTACAGATCTGATAGTGGCAAATGAGCTTCTGCGAGCAGGCCCAGGGCTTGGTGTGTTGCTCACGCGGCGGCAGCAGGAAGGCCGCACTCCCCGCCAATAGCATGTGCCAGATGCTGTGCGTGTAGTAATAGTTGTCACTGGTCATCATGGAGGTATAGATGGCAATGGCCACAGCAGCCATCGAGATGCCAGGCAGGAGGTAGAAGACCCAGCGCTGCCAAGAGGTGGGGTAGCAGTGCCGCCGGTACCTGCAGCGGTACACCTGGAGAGAGCCAACACGTGAGTTCCAGCAGAGGAGGCTGAAGCCGTGGCTCCCGGGGCCTCCCTCCCCCAGGCCTGGGCAGCGGGACCTCGTCGTCAGTGTGGCTGCTTGGAGAGGGCCCTAAGGGCACAAAGACCTGACAGGTGTCAGGCCCGGGCCTCGGGCATGAAGCCGTGCTGGGCGCTCGTGGGTGCCCCCAGCAGTCCTCGGCAGATGTGCAGGACTCGGGCCCAGGGGCAGGAACATGGCCAGAATGAGTGGTCTGCGGGGAGCCCAGACTCTCTTATCCCAATCACCAGGGGAGGGGGTTCTGGCCAGGAGCGCTGGCTTGTCCCAGCTCCTTACCCACATGGTGACCATGACCACAAAGGCAAAGAGACAAGGCCCCATCATGTTCCAGGCACCCCTGCGGTCCAGCTGCAGGGACATGGCGAAGATCAGTGTGCCCAGGAGAAACAGGACCTGGGCAAGACACAGGGGTGACCACAAGGTCATGGAACCCTCAGCCAGTCGTTCATGACAACGCAAAGTACAGTAGGAAATGGTGACCTGGGCATGGTCATCGTCCTGCTGGCCCCCACTGTCCCTTGGCCTTAGAGTTGCTGGCACACTTTGTCCTGCTCTGCATTGCTGGGACCCAGGGCTCCCACTGATCCATCCACAAGTGGACTTCTGAGGCACAAATGTGGCCAGGCAAGGCCCCAGGGCATGTGTCCCTATTACCCAGAGCTAGTTGAGGCAGAAAAGTCCCCAAAGTGTCCTCTACACAAGGACTGCAGGAGCACAGCTGGAGGCTTGTCAGGGAGGTCTGGCCTAGGGTTGGCACTCTAGGCTTCCTCTCTGAAGGGGGCTCTGGGAGAGACAGGCTGGGGGCCTCACTTGACCCTGCCCACCATCTTTCTTTCCTGGCCCTCTCCAAGCAGCCGGCCCCCTCCCAGCTGGAGGCAGCTTCTTCCAGCAGGAGAATGGTCATTACAAGAGATGGTGGGTTTCTAAGAGCCAAGCCCTCTTTCTGGTCTCTTCCTCAATATGGGGCACGCCTCGAGCCCAGACCCAGGCGTCAGGAGTCACTCACATGTTTCTGGGCTGCCTTCAGCCGCGCCATGCAGAGGATGGTGACCCAGATGGACACCCCAGAGCCCAGAAAGTCACAGTACTGCAGGGTGTCATAACTGAGGATGCACAGCACGGCCTCCCCGGGCTGGTCGCAGGCATGGTAGAACTGCAGAGCAGGGGTGGTAAGCTGCGGCCCAGCGCCCCCCAGCCAGCCCCACCCCCACATCCCCAAGGCAGTGGAGCGCGCCTACCGTGGAGAAGAACATGGTGTAGGCATAGACGGAGGCCTCCACCAGGAGCAAACGGTGCACCGAGACAGCAATGGGGGCCAAGAACATGAGGTTGCTGAGGGTGAGAAGGAGGGTGGCCACCCTCTGCTGGGCCACAGTCTGGGCTGTGCTGTTGTCCGTGCAGCTCCATCCACGCCAGCCTGTGGGCCAGTGTGACGCCAGGGGGCTGAGGCCGGGTGAGGGGGGGGGTCCTTCTGAAGCTCAGGGCCTACCCCTCCTCTAGAGGCCTGCAGAGAAGCCCTTTCCTCACCCGGGGCAGGCGTGGGCAGGCACAGGGCAGGCGTGGGCAGGTGTGGGGCGGGCCGGGGCAGGCATGGGCAGGCGTGGGGCAGGCGTGGGGCAGGCGTGGGCAGGCGTGGGGCAGGCGTGGGGCAGGTGTGGGGCAGGCCGGGGCAGGCGTGGTGCATGCGTGGGGAAGGCCGAGACAGGTGTGGGGCAGGCCGGGGCAGGTGTGGGGCATGCATGGGGCAGACTGGGACAGGCGTGGGGCAGGCGTGGGGCAGGCCGGGGCAGTTGTAGGGCATGCCGGGGGCAGGCGTGGACCGGGCGTGGTCCAGGTGTGAGCCAGGCTGGGCAGGCATGGACCAGGAGTGGGCCAGGTGTGAGCCAGGCTGGGGCAGGCATGGGGAGAGCAGGCCAAGGTCAGGAGGAAGGACTCTCTCTGGGGGTGCCATCTGTGCCTGGGAGGCAGGGGGCAGGGGACTGAGGAAGCAGGGGAGGAACGGGGAGGGGGCATTTGCCCTTGTTTGGCAGAGTCACTCTCCGGCCTTGACAGAGAGGAGATGGGCTCCCAGAGGAAGGCGCCGGGCTGAGAGGCTAAGGGCAAAAGGGTCTGCAGGCAAGGTGCCTGGCTGGCTCAGTGGGAGGAGCATGCGACTGTTGATCCTGGGGTCGTGAGTTGGAGCCCCACCTTGGGTGTAGAGATTACTTAAATAAAGAAACTTGAAAAAAAAAAAGAAGTGTCTGGGGGCCTCGGGCCCGGCCCTCACCGGCCTTGCAGCTGCAGCCTGCATACAAGTAGCTGAGTCTGCGCAGCAGGAGGCACTGGCCGTAGGGACCGCAGTCATTTAGGCAGGGCACCAAGGACAAGGTGGTCTCCACGAGGACTGAGGCCTGCTCGCACTCCCTGTGAGGAAGGGGCCACAGGAAGGCTAGCTGCTGACATCTGCTGGCCAGTCCCTCATCCGTGCTCTCAGCAGGCTCTTGGACACACGAACCCAGACTTGAGGCCCCCAGGCTCCCAGCCTTGGAGGACAGCAGCCGTGAGCCCTGCCGAGGCCGAGATGCCCTTTCCCCTAGCCCTGCCCTGAGTCCCAGTCTCCCAGGCCTGTGTCCTGGACTGGTCCCCCTCGTCGTGTCCTGACTCCCGGGGCTGCAGCAGGAAGGGTGAGCAGAATCCTTCATAACTCCTGGAAGGCAACTGACCCCACGTGACTCGCAGGAGGCTTGGTCACTCCCGAACTTGCACCCAGGCAGCCCCATGCCGCCCGCCCCCAGCTGGTAGTCCCCAGGTCTACTTACTCAGGACTCTCGGGGCATACAAGCTGCAGGGAGAGGTACCAGTTGTCCGTCTCTGGGTAGGGGATGATGAGGTCGGCCTTTCGCGATGTGGCACTCAGAGACAGGGGGTGGCCCTGGAAGAAGGCTGCAGGGAAGGGGGAGGGCCTGATCAGAGGCGGCCAGAGGCGCTGGCCGGGGACACTTGGCCGGATGCTGCTGGCCCATACCTGTGGTGCAGTTGAGCGACGTGTTGAAGCCGAGGAAGGGGGAGGCGGCATTCACGCAGACCGCTACCAAGGTGTTGTTGGTAATTGCAGTCTGGAAGGCGAGGCCGTGCAGTCAGCCCCAGCCCCAGTGCAACTGCCCTAAGTTCCCACTCTCTCTGGTGCTGGGCTCCGTTCTCGGTGGCTCCTGCTGGCCCAGGGCCCTTCCGGGACCTGTCCTTCCAGGACTAGGGACACCCAGCCCGATCCCAACCGTGGCCTCACTTCCTTAGCCCACAGAACAGGCCTTCCTTTCCTCAGACAGAGCCCCTACTCTGCCCCAAAGACTGCTGGGGTCAGCGTGTTGCCCGAAAGGCTGACCTTGTCTGTGCCAAAGTCAAGGCAGGAAGACCTGAGCAGCATCCCTCGGCCTGGGCAGGTGAGAGCCCTGAGCTGAGCCCGGCCGCGAGGCACTCACAGGTAAAGGTACCTTGTTGGCCTGCAGGGAGATGGTGAGGGAGCCCCCACTGTCCATGCCCGTGCTGAGGTACAACCGCATCACTGACGGCGTGGCTGACCGCACCAGCACCGGGACCCTGTCCGCGGGCCAGAAGCGTACAGACACCACGTCCGTGTCTTCCCGAATGACCGGGTAGCTCACCAGGCAGAAGTGGCCACCGTCCACCCTGCTGCTCCTGCCCAGGCCGTGGCAGCCGGGACTCGGGGTCAGCAGACCAGTGGAGGCGTTACAGCTCTGGTTTGGGATGCTCTGCAGGAGGTGCTGGGAGTTCAGATTCCACGGCCTGCAGGCTGTCAGGAGGACAAGGGGCTCAGCTGCAGGAAGGCCTGGGGGGTCAGCGGCAGAGGGCGGAGCCACCCGCGCCCTGCCCCCTCCACACAGCCCACCTGTGAGGGCAGCTACAGCCCTGAAAGCCACCAACACGTGAGGCCCCGCCAGGCTCTTGGCGGTCACTTGCAGCCACCGGTCCCCAGGGGGTGAGGGCAGGAACAGGTGGCAGGCCCAGGTGGGGCTGATGCATGTGAGCACCTTCTGGAAGTTTCTGGGCAGGGTGGCCGAGCCCACGGTAAGGCGCACAGGGCAGCCCAGGCTCCCATTGCTCACACAGCCCTGCAGCTCCAGCCGCAGCTCCCGGGTGTACTCAGGGATGAAGATTCTGTGGCCAAGGGGACACAGTCTCGCTCAGGCTCTGTGGCCACCACCAAACCCCCCATCACTCACACTCGGGGTGTTGGCCCAAGGGGGCTGGGCATTGGGCCCTGAGGCCCAGCCCCACACAGTGAGGACAGTGGGATCACCCACTCCACCGCACCCAGAGGCTAGGCCTCCCCGAGGGTCCCACTCACTTGAGGTAGCTGGGATGGGAGAGGAGAGTCTGCGGAAGGGGAACGTTGGGCTCCAGGATAAAGACCTCGACTGCCCGCACAATCAGCATGTCGGGCTGGAAGATGTAGGCACAGGTGGGAGCAAAACCCTGGGGAGAGAGTGAAGTGTGGGGGGGGAGGAACATGCAGACATCGGGGGGAGCGTCAGGGCCGGAGCAGAGAGCCCAGGCATGGAATGGGGGCCAGGCAGGACTGGACCAGAGCAGGGCAGCAGAATCTAGAGGCAAGTCTGCCCTGGGGAGGTAAACGACAGTGACTGGGCACTCATGCAGTGAAGGATCGTGCCCCCCCATCCTCGGAAGGCAGCCCCCTCACCTTCACCTCAATCTTCTGGGAGGAGGGGGGCAGGTGGGCGGCCACAAACCAGTCCCCGGGTGCTGGGTGGGAGATGTTGATGGAGGCGTTGCTCTGCAGCATCTTGATGAAGAAGGGGGACTGCACAGACGTGTTGGCAGGGAAGCTAGTGCCCAGAGGGTTGATGACGGGAGGGGCGCCGTACCGGAAGTACCTGGAGACAGGGAGAGCAGGACAGGCGTCAGGGGTGGGCGCTGGGCGGGCCTGGGCGGGCGGGCGGGCGGGCACCTACACAGTGATCTCCATGTTGGCGCACGCGGGGCTGCTGCCCCGGGACACCTGCAGCAACCAGCGCAGCAGCACGGTGTCCGGGGGCACGCGGAAATGGAAGAGTCTGGCGCTGCCATACCAACTGTAGAAAGACAGCTTCTGTGGGGACTGTGAGAAATGTTCGGACACCAGCCTGACGTCTGCGGGGAGAAGGGTGCTGTCAGCCAGGCACCCGCCTCCTCACAGGGTCCCACAGAGGGATGAGCCTGGCACCCCCAGCTGGATCCGTCGCTGTCCCCCCCCCCCCCCAGCGGGCCCAGGACTTACAGGTTTTCCCGCCACCACCACATTCCCTCTCAGCTGCCGCGCATTCTCGACCACGGCTGTCATCTTTCTAACCCTCTCCACCCCCACCACTGATCTCTCTGGGGCATAGGCTCAGACCCTGAAGCCATGTCTCTGCCAAGCCTCCCCAGATCACCGACATCCCACCCATCGGGCAGCTTCCAGAACGAACCCCCCACACCTGTCACCACAGATGCCTCCGACACCGCCCCACACCCCACCGCCCCCGCATGCTGTCATGGTCTTACTCAGTACTGCAGCCCCTGCAGTTCGGGGGCCAAGAGATGGAGGCTGAGGGTCTTGGGAAGTGTTCAGGGTGGTAGCCCTGCCCCCACCTCACGTTTGTCCTGGGCACCGGACACCAGAACACTCACTCCACCCCTCGGAGCCCTTCCTGCTCCATGCTGTGGGGCATGTTGTGCTGAGGGGATTCAGGCCCAGAGCCTGGCCCTGTGCTCAGCCCCATGATGACTTGAGACACAGCCAGACGAGAGCCTGAGTTCCCACTCACCCAGAGAGGAGGTGAGCAGAGACCCTGGGGGGGAGGAGGGCCCAGGCAGGAAGGCTGGCCGGCTGTGAAGACGAAGGGACAGCTGGTTCCTGTGCTCACGCAGGGTGGCACAGAGACAAACTGCCCATGGCCCCAGCCTGGGGTGCCCCCATGCCCACCCTCCTAGCCGCTCTCAGGTCCCCACCTCTGTAGCTCCCCGGCTACCCTCCCCTCCACACTCTAAACCTCAGCCTGTGTCATGCCAGCCATTCCAGGACCAGCTCTGAGTCTTCTGGGGCTCAGCACAGAGACCAGAGGCCCCTCCCTGGATTAGGCCCCTGCTGGGGGTGTTCACTGACTGAGCACAACCTGCACCAGAGCAGGTGTCTGACCCCATGCGTGGTGCCCACCCACAACGCTCCCTCTTGGGGCTCCTACAGGACAGAAACACCCTGAGTGTTCTTTGTGCTCTTGGGGACAGCTAATCGGGCGTGGGGTCTGGTCATGTCGTGCCTGGGCTGGATGGCTGGGAGTCCAGCCCCAGCACCAGTTCAGGCCTCATACCTCTGGTGACCTTGGATGTCCCTTCTTTCTCTGAGTCCTAGCTTCCTTGTGAGTTGGCTGAGGTAGACAGCACCTCCCTTCAGGTGCCCTGCCCTCCAAAGTTAATGGATATTAAAGTGCTTCCGGAAGAAATGCACTGTGGACACAGGGTGCGGCCTCCCGCTCTTCCAAGCTGAATGCCTCTCTCTGCCCCACTGGGAGAGTGGCTGGCTGACACCACCTCAGCCGCAGGCCCGGGCCCCTCAAGGTGAGCCAGGTGAGAAGGGACGGGAGCCAGGTGAGCATCCGCTCTCCCGCCAGCCTCCTGACCCTCCCATGGAGGCACGGGAGAGAAGATAATGACCCACTTGCAAAGCCAGTCTGAGCTCCAAAGCAGCCCCACATAGCAGGGTGCTCAGGGATAGGCTCTATGGGGGATGAATCCCAGACTCTCCGGGTGGCTGCTGGCCACCAGGTCCCATCCACCAGGCTGTGGACTGAATACTAAGAAGCCAGGAGCTGCTGAACTAACACAAACCTCCTCGTGAGGCTGCTTCAGCCCCCAGGATAACATGATGAGAAGGGCGGAGAAAAGCGTTAGGGAGCCGAGGTAGGATAGCTCCCCACCCCCACCTCAGGACCAGGGGACCTTAGAGAAACAGTCTGCCAACTGGGCACCCAGCACCCTGGCCTGAAAGGAGCAAGGACTTCTGGCCATTGCCAGGGCCGGAATGCCAGCCTGAGGGCACCTGGAACACAGCTGGTAGGTTTCAGCAGGTGCATAGGAGATAAGAGACCTGCTCAAGGTCCCCCTAAGACCCAGTGAACCCCTTTCCCAGGGCTACTTAGCTCCTTCAGCACCCCAGCTCTATAGCCTGACCTCCCTGCCCCAGACACCCACGGGGTTATCTTGCTGAACACCAGGCCGTTAGCACATTACCTCTATCAGGGAGCACCAGCTTCACGTACCCCAGCCGTGTCCCACAGGCCCCTCCAAGGACACAGGGTTAGACAGAAAAGAGAGAAAGTCCCTGAGTCTGTCCTGGGATCCCCAGAGAGGGCACACTATCCCACACCCTCCAAAACAGGACAGGTACCCAGTACAGAGATTTTGCCCATGCACAGACTCCAGAAACCAGGGCCACACAGTGGCCTGACTTCTCAGCAGGCCTAAGAGGTGAGGGGCTGCCCCAAGTTTTCCATCTCCATAAGCCTCCCACCAGTGAGCCCTCACCCCGCCCTGACCCCAGGATAGAGAAAAAGGTGGACGTAAGTCTGGCAATATCCAAGGGAGCAATTGAATCAGGAGCCAGTCTCTGGGGAAACCACCTTTCATTTCAAGCTGTGCCAAGCTCAGAAACCAGAGGCGCAGCTCTCAAAGAAATAGGAGCTTGGAGGGTTTCAAAGAAGGGGGGAGGGGGAGGGGGCCAGGAAGTGGAGGGAGAGAGCCCCATGCTGTGCTGGATAAGCTGCCTGCTGCCCCCAGGGGGCATTAGGGCCCTCCCAGCCCTGGCCCCAGAGCTCTCAGGGAGGCTACTCAACACCTCCAGGAGGACCCTGAGGGGCAGCATCTTCTGGTCTAGCCACCTCCTGGTGGTTCAGTCCAGGGTGGGGACCCTCAGACCACCCTGGCCTACCAGGCTCCTCGGGTCCCCCTGGGAGTCCAGCCCCAAGAAGCACGGCTGCTGAAAGTCACTGCACTTGGGTTGGCTATGTCCCTGTGAAGGGTGAAGATGGGAAACCCACCTGGCCCCTCTCCTGGACCTAAGCAACTTTCTCCCAACCCCGCCCCTCTCTGAGGCCAGAGGGGCGCCCTGGATGCCCACCGCACAACCTTTTCTCCAGTGGGCCTCCCAGCTGGGTCCCCCCCCCCCACACTCCTCCACCTCCACATCCCTTTGGGCGCGGCTGTGCCCTCCCTAAACGCCTAGGGAGGAACCGGGAAGGGAGGGCGCACTCCAAGGGGCCAGTCTGGACGAACTCGGCCCTGGGGACAGTGGAGGGGGCGCCGGCGTCCCTTCCACCCCGACTACTTCTACTTTAACACGGGGCGCCCTCAAGGGGATGTCCTGACCCCGCCCCCCCCCGCCTGGGGTGGGGACCTGGGCCCTGAGCCCGCGCCAGGTGAGCGCACAGGCGCCCCCAGGGTGAGTCACAATCCAGACACAATCCAGACTCCGCCTCCCGGCAGCCCCCCAACACGCCGGGCCCCAGCCCACGCCCCCCCCCCCCCCATGGCTCCCGCGGGTTCGCGCCGGCTCACCGCTCTTCCTGCTGTCGCCGGCGACGGCAGGCGGGGGCCCAGCGAGCAACATCAGCAGCAGCGGCCCCGCCACTGCCACCGCCACCGTCGCGCCCCCGCTCCCGGTCCCAGCCCGGCCCATGGCTCCGCGCTCGGCCCGGCGCTACCCGGACCGCGTCCCCGGCCGCCCGCCCCCGCCGCCGCCCGGGCAGCCACCGCCGCCACTGCGGCCCCCGCCGCCGCCGCTGCCGCCTCTGCCCCGGGCTCCCATCGTCCCGGCCGGTCCCAGCCGCCGGCGCCCCGGGCACTTCCGCCTGCGAGGCCCCGCCCTGCTAGGAGCAGTGGCCGGAGCCGGACTCGGGGACAGGAATCGGAAGGAGGACGCTGGCGGGGGGCCGAAGCTGGCCGAAGGCGACTTGGGGACACAGGGGGAGCGCGAGGAAAATGGGTCAGAGGGAGGTCGTGGACTGAGAGGGAATGCCGACCCGCCACCGCGCGCGCAGATGGGGGGAGGCAGGGCGGGATAGGATGGAGGGTCACGCGGTGCGCGCGGGGGACGTGGGACAGAGCTGGCACTGGTGGGGGGAGGCTGAGGGCTGGCGCGGGACCCAGTGGGGCCCTCTGGGGACGTGGAACAGAGCGGGCACGGCGGGGCGGCGGGCTGGCGCGGGACCTAATCGGGCGCGGGAAGGACGTGGGACGGAGGGGACACGGGAGGGCGGCGGGCTGGCTCGGGGCCCAGTGGGGCGCTCTGGGGATCTGGGACGGAGGAGACACGGGGGGCTGGCGGGCTGGCGCGGGACCTATCCCGCGCGGGAAGGACATGGGACGGAGGGGGCCCGGGGGGGGCGGGCTGGCGCGGGACCCAGCGGGGCGCTCGGGGGACGTGGGACGGAGGGGACACGGGGGGCGGCGGGCTGGCGCGGGACCTAATCGGGCGCGGGAAGGACGTGGGACGGAGGGGGCACTAGGGGGGGAAGCGGGCTGGCGCGGGGACCAGTGGGGCGCTCTGGGGATCTGGGACGGAGCGGGCACCGGGGGGCGACGGGCTGGCGCGAGACGTAGTGGGGCGCGCGGCGGACGTGGGACGGAGGAAACACGGGGGGCGGCGGGCTGGCGCGGGACCTAATCCGGCGCGGGAAGGACATGGGACGGAGGGGGCACTAGGGGGGGAGGCGGGCTGGCGCGGGGCAAGTGGGATGGAGGGGGCACAGGCGGAAGGGGCAGAAGGCTGGCACCGGACCCAGTGGGGCGCACGGAGGACGTGGGACGGAGGGGGTACGGGGGGCGCGTGGCGGGCAGGCTGGCGCGGCACCCAGTCGGGCGAAGGAGGGACGTGGGACCGGGATGCATGAGGGCAGAGGGCTGGCGCGGGACCCAGGGATTCAGAAGGGAAAGTGGCGGGGCTTGAATTGGAAACCACTGTGGATCTGAGGCGGCAGGCGAGCGCCCCAAGTGCTTCCTACACTCGTTGGGGTCCATGGGACGCGAGCGTCTGGGTTCCCTGAGTCGTGGGCCGGGCGACGCGTGATGAGGGCCTCGGGGCAGGGTGCGGAGGACGCTGGGGAGACTCGGCCCACCAGCTGTTGAGTCCTGGGCGCGTTTCGGCCTCGCCAGCACGGGCCCTGGCTTTGCGCCACCAGCCCCTCACAGCTGGACTCCCCAGGCCAGGCCTCCCGGTCCTTCACGAAGCCGCTACGAGTGTGTGTAAAGAACACACTTCTGTGGAAAAATGAAAAGGCTCCATGTACGAGTGGGAATTTCGTACTCTATAAGGTGGCGATTTGAATCAGTGAGTGGGATTCACCCTTCACCCTTCACATTGGGTTAGATTCCAAATGGAATAAGGATTTAGGCCTTAAAAAAGAAGAAAACTTGGGAGAACTTTTTCAGAGTCTTGGTGGAAGCGAGGGCGTTTCTAAATAATGACCCCAAACCTAGCAGACTAGAGGGGAGACGGAAATTCAACTAGGTGAAATCAAAGCTTTCTGCAGAGCCAGAGCCAGACTGCCTTATGCAATGTCAAGAAACAATCCTTAAACTGGGAAGGACATGCTTGCCACTCCTATCACAAAGACCCAATCTTAATAAGATTAATAATAGTTTTTTTTTTTAAGGTTTTACTTATTTCTCAGAGCGAGCTAGCACAAGCAGGGGGAGCGGCAGACAGAGGGAAAAGCAGGCTCCCTGCTGAGCAAGGAGCCCCATGTGGGACTCCATGCCAGGACTCTGGGATCATGACCTGCGACAAAGGCAGCCGCTTAACCATCTGAGCCACCCAGGCATTCCAAGATTGATAATAGTTTAGGGACACCTGGTGGCTCAGTCAGTTAAGCGTCTGCCTTCGGCTCAGGTCATGAATCCCAGGGTCCTGGGATGAGTCCCGCTTTGGGCTCCTTGCTCAGGGAGGAGCCTGCTTCTCCCTCTGCCTGCTGCTCCCCGCTGCTTGTGCTCAGACTTTCTCTCTCTCAATCTGACAAATAAATAAGTAAAATCTTAAAAAAAAAAAGATTGATAATAGTTTAATAATGAAGAGTCCCTACAAATCAATAACAAGATACCCACTCTTCAGTAAATCCAAGAAGACTCCTGTAAAGGATATGCAAATGAACAGGAACAGACTCCAACCTCCCCTCCTTAGAGAAATGCAAATTGAAAAGCATGTAGACATCTTTTTTTCTTAAACCTAACAAATCTGCAAAGATCAAAAAGTTTGATCACACTGGAAGGGGACGATTGTGGGCCCCCGGACATTCCTGTATTTAGTGAGCAATAGGTTAGAGCTTCCGGAAGTCTCTGGACTCAGCTACCAAAGTGAGAAGAGCACATAGCTTTGCTTCAATGGTCCCACCTCTGTGCATTTTCCCTGTAGAGATGCTCACAGAAGTGTGAGATTACATTATGGTACCGCATACGTCCAGATATTGGTCATTAGGCAATGGGACATTCAAATCATGGACATTCATACTGTGATTCAAACACTGATACAGTGTGGCGGCAAACCAGAAAGCTCTATATACAGATTGGGAATGGTCTGCCAGATGTAGCTTTGGCTGGAAAAAGGAAAGGGCAGAACAATGGGTATAGAAAGCTACCATTTTCGTAGGAAAATGTTTTTTGGGGGAGGGGTAGAGGGAAGAGGGAAAGAGTCTCCTAAGCAGGCTAGGGGCTCGATTTCACAACCCTGAGATCATGACCTGAGCCACAATCAAGAGTCAGACACTTAACCAACTGAGCCACCCAGGCACCCCTGTAGGAAAATTTTATTTGCATGCACCAAAGACATAGGATGACTGGAAGCATCCAGCAGCAGGTTATGCTGATTGACTCTGGGGGAGCGAACCCACTGGCCTAGGATTGGAAGGAGGGACTTTACCTGTGGGTGTCTTTTGAATTTTGTCCTGCTTGGGAAGAAGGGACTGGGGGTTGTTTGTTGAGAGTTTACAGAAGGGAGGGGGGCAGACACTGACCCAGCCAGCCCAAGACCACAGAAAGCTGGAAAAGGGTGGAGAGTGGAGGCCGGGAGCAGGAAGAAGGCCAAGGTGTGAAGCCATTAAGAGACCCTTCATTCCTTTGGGATCTAGGCTGGGCCCTCCTCACCCTTGGCCGCAGGGGAATCCCCGGGCTGCTGGCCAGTCTCAATTTAAAGGGACTGAGGTCAATCGTGGGATTTTGCTGAGCTTCAATTTTAGTGCACTATGCTGAGCCAGAGTCATGCTGGGACAGCAGCTGCGGTCAGCACTGAGCACTGGAAAACTGTTCCTACCCTGGGCTGAGCTCAGGTCCCCCGCTAGCCCTCCTCACTCAGGGGCTTCCCTTGAGTGTGTCACTTCAGTGTGAGACTCCTGTGCCCCAAGTTCCCCACCAGGTAGGAGGGGAGGTGGCAGACATGCCCCATCACAATGCTGTGTCTGGGGGCTGGTGAACTTATAGATGGACCTGGTGCCCTGGGTTGGTGTCAGGAGACCTGTGCTCAGTACCAGAGCATCAGCAGTGGGAAGGAGCCTAGGATCCACCTGGCAGGGCCTCGGTTAGAAGACAGGAAGCTGAGGCTCCCACCAGGGAAGGCCCTGTCTACAGAGGCTCTTGCTTTCCACCTCGTGTCACACAGAACAGTGAATTCCAACTAGATGAGATGGTCCACTGCTGAGAATAAAACGATAAAAATATTAGAAGGAGACTTAGAACACACCCCTTGGAATAAAGGGATAGGAAATAATTTATTAAGCAAGAGGGACAGGAAACTGGGAAATCATGAAGGAAAAGGTACTCATTTGACTACATTTTAAAAAATGTAAGTATGGGCACTTGGCTAGATCAGTCAGTAGAGCCAGCTACTCTTGATCTTGGGGTCCTGAGTTCCTGAACTCCACGTTGGGGGTGGAGTTTACTTTTAAAAAAATGTTATGTAAGGGGCGCCTGGGTGGCTCAGTCGTTAAGCGTCTGCCTTCGGCTCAGGTCACGATCCCAGGGTCCTGGGATCGAGCCCCGCATCGGGCTCCCTGCTCCTCAAGAAGCCTGCTTCTCCCTCTCCTGCTCCCCCTGCTTGTGCTCACTCTCTCGCTGTGTCTCTCTCTGTCAAATAAATAAATAAATAAAATCTAAAAAAAAAATGTTATGTAAGTATAAAAACTGTGAAAGTAAAACGTAGCATAAAAGTCATCAAGTCAGGGGCGCCTGGGTGGCTCAGTCTGTTAAGGGTCTGCCTTGGGCTCAGGTCATGATCCCGGGGACCTGGGATCCTGTCCTGCATGGGGCTCCCTGCTTAGCTGGGAGCCTGCTTCTCCCTCTCCTGCTCCCCCTGCTTGTGCGCACACTCTCTCTGTCTAATAAATAAATAAAATCTTTAAAAAAATGTCATCATCAAGTCAAAAGACAAATGGGAGAATACATGTGCTGTGCATATGATAATGGGTTATTATACCTACAAAGGAAATTTACGCATTGAAACCAAGGCAACCCAAAAGAAAAATAGACTCAGGCAATCACAAGTGAAGGTGCGGGAAGACGCCAGTGGTGGGCGTGAGCCCATGAGCCACACTGCTCAGTCGTCCTGGTGAAAATTCAAGTGCTGGTGTGATTTTAACACAACAGGACGTAGGTCAGAAGCCCAGCCCAATCCAGATGCAGGGAACAGGTGCCTCACACTGTGCCCATGGGAATGCAAACAGCCT